GCGGGTGGGGGTGGGGGGTGAGGGCCGAGTGTCTCCGCGGCCGCCTCCCCAAGCTACAGAGCCCAGCATGTGGCTGCAACCGCAGGCACTGCGTCCGCTGGTCTGGCCCCATTTAACAGTGTTTTTTAAAAGAATTCTTTGTTCAGTATTTCATGGGAATTCCCATTGTCTAGCTAAGAGTGTACAAAAGGTCAGATTTGATGTGTGTTTTATGAAGTTGTCCCACCTTCGGGCAAAAATGATGAAATATGCTGAAAACCACTTATGAGTGATGTTTGAAGCGTTCCGAGGAACGCCATTGCTGTCAGCACAGTCCAAGCCATGCACGTTCCTGTTACAATTCAGACAAAGTTCAAAGAATGTTTCTGTATTTTCTCCAGTAAATATATTCCAGATATGAATAATAGTTGCAATTAGACTCCCCATTTGATGAAGCTTCAATAAACTGCATGCTCCAATATCTGTGTGCTTCTGCACAGATTGAACAGGTCATTAAAGGAAGGTTGATAAAGACACCTAGCCCTGCATTTTTCAAATCTTCACACTACCGGCTGCAAACTGCCCCCAGGGCGTTGGCATTGCTTTTGCTTTACTGTTTGCATTAGTTTTCTACAGCTGAGTGACAATTTACCACACACTTGGCACCTTAAAACAATACTCGTTGATTATCTGACAGTTAGGCATGTCAGGAATCTGGGCCTGGCACAGCGGGGTACTCTGCTCAAGGTCGCTCATGGCTGAAATCAAGGTGTCAAAAAGTTTGCCATCCCATTGAAGGCTTGGAGCCCTCTTTCCAGCTCATGTGGCAATTAGCAGAACTCATTTCCTTGCAGCTATAAAACTCACAAGGTCAATTGAACAGCATCTCTCTGATACTCAGACTTCTTATGGAGCCTTCACCTGATTATGTCTGGCTCACCTAAGATAGCTTCCCTTTTCATTAACTCAGTCAACTGATTAGTAATCTAATCACTAGAATGAGATGCTGTCACCTTCACTGGTCCTGCCCACACTCAAGGCGAGGAGATCGTACAGGGTATGTAGAGCAGGTGGCAAAGGCCTGAAAGGTCGGTTAGAATTCTACCAGACCATCCTAGAGAGAAGGTCTCAGGGCTTCCACCTGGCTCTTCCTCCCATAGTAGGCCTCCCTCACTCCCCAGGCTGCAGAGATCATGCGTGGATCATATCACTTTTTTAGTGTGTTTATTCCCATTGTGTGTTCAGTAACCGCAGGTTAGATCCATGGTCACACTGAGTCCACTGCGAGACAGTCCCAGCCCAAAATGTCATTTATCACCTGTCTGACGTAGCTCCGAGCTGACTGGTGGACATTACTGGTGCTTTAGGTCCCCAAAATTAGCATCAGCCCAGAGCCATGCTCATAATCTCCGTAAAGCCTGGGTGTTTCCTCTTGTCTAGGGCGCGACGGCTCTGTAATTGCCCGCAGAGCCCTCCCTGCAAGCGCCAGTTGGTTCTCGTCTGCAGTTCCCTTCTACACTCTGTGAACCAACGCCAACATCTAAGCTTCTAGGTTCTGAAACCCCAACCCCTTCGTTTTGTTTCTCAGGCTCCAGAGGTGACAGCTGCTCCTTGCAACTTCCACCTGTGTTACCTCACTGCTTGCCTTTTGCCTTCTTAGTCCTCCGCTGTTTGTTTGACCGATGCTCTGTTTTCCAACGTCTCCCCTACATGAGCAAACCCAGGGGACATTATGCTTAGTGAAGTGAGCCTGTCACCGAAGGATGGACATTGCATGACTCCACTTCTATGAAGACTCTAAAACAGTCCAACTCAGAAGCAGAGAGTAGAATGGGGGTTGCCAGTGACTGGGGGAGGGGGGGGAATGAGGAACTGGCTGCCAATGAGCATCAAGTTTCAGTTACGCAACGAGAATAAATTCTAGAGATCCAATAGCTAACAGTATCGTATTGGGCACTTAAAAACTCATTCAGAGGGTTTGTCTTCTACTAAGTGTTCTAACAATGGCAACAACAACAAAGAAACACAGTGAAACTGTTGGGGGTAATGGAAATACCTACTACCTTGATTACGGTGATGGTTTCATGAGTGTATGCATATGTCCAAACTCATCACATTGTAGACGTTCAGTGTGTACATCAATTGTATAACAACTGCACCTAAGTACAGCTGTTTAAAATAAATAAATAAAATACAATGCCTCTATTAAAATAGCTGTTACAGTTCCTATTTGACTGACAGGAGTCAGACACACGCCACGGGTTCTGCAGAAGTAGAATGGGTTAATAAACTACAGTATATTCATATAACGGATCGTTATACTGAAAGGCAGTTGAACATTTTATTGCTGTACCTGGGTGAAACTCACAAACTCAATGCTGTGACAAAAAGAACGTATATGGGATGATTTTAGAAACTTACCTGCATTCTAAAATGAAATCCTCTTGTTTCGGGACGCATATACTGGGTGTGAAAATGTAACAAAAAGCAAGGACATGGTTACCATGAGCCACAGGGGAGCAGACGCCCCCGGCAGAGAGGGAGGGCTTACTGCCGACGGGAAGGACATGCTTTGCAGCATCAGCCATGTGTCCCGTCTTCTCCCTAGTGCGGGTTAGAGATGCTTTATACCCTTTGCTGTCTGTGTGTCATAGCTCACAATGTGAAATGTTTTGTTTGTGATTTTAATTCTAATACAGATGACTTTACAACTTGAATGAACTTGCAGCCTGAATTTCTATGAAAACTGTCTCTTTCCTATGTGCTTATTTCAAGCCCTCAGTCCTCTGACATGGAATTATGATATTAAAACAGTCTTAGTGCAGGAAGAAAATGCTGTTTTGAGAACATCACTGACTTCTGAAGTGGCTGGAAAACATACTTAAGAAGCGTGGTACTTACTTCACACTGAGCCACAGCGTTGGTGGTTGTATTAAACAGTGCCAAGGAGGACGAACTTGGGTCTGGCTGCATTAAACCTGGAAGACAACAGCGTTTTTTAAACTACATTGCAACTAACGTTCATGCCTTTGTTAGCCTTAGTCTCTTTAAAATTGTTCTCAGACCATATTTTTGGGGATCATCTGATTCATCAGCTATACAAATTTCAATCAAACTATGTTTATATTTATTTTTATATATTAAATACATTTAATATAGCCAAGCATTCTGCACCTCAAATGAAACAACAGGTTTTAGCAAAGCTATGGTAAACTTATAATGAAAGTGAATAAATAAATTATGTAAGTTTTCAGGAATTAACTCCTGTATGTCAAATCATTGCTTTCTTTTCCCTAATAGTATTATATGTAAATAAAAGCTGCAACAGTTTTGGAAACCCCAAAAGGGGATTTCAGCAGTATGGTCATGCCAATGATGGCGACTTTTTCTCTGCTAGTTTCTCCCCACTCCAGGAACCAATTTCAAATTATTCCTCCCAGGTACCGAGCGCAGTTATCCCTCAGTATTCACAGGGGATTGGTTCCAGTACCCACCCACCCCCGTAGATACAAAATTCCTCTGATGTTCAAGCTCTTAGTATAAAATGATGCAGTATTTGCATACAACCTACACACATCTTCCTGTATACTTTAAATCATCTCTAGATTACCAATTGTACCTAATGCAATGTAACTACTATGTAAATAGTTGTAAATACAATGTAAAGTCTATGTAAATAGTTCCTGGTGTGCGGCAAATTCAAGTTTTCCTGTTTGGAACTTTCTGGAATGTTTACAATATTTTTGATCTGTGGGTGGTTGAATCCACGGATGCAGAACTCACAGATATGGAGGACCAAGTGTATGCATTTCTTAACTTATCTATAAAAAGAACATAGGCAGATATAAAACAAATATTAATTATACTTAACACTTTTATCATAGCATCAAGGTTTTACTTATTTAGACAGAATAAAGCACCTGACTACAAAGTGTCTTCCCTTAAAGGAATTTTTTTAAACTTCCATACGTTATCACTTGGCAATTGTACTAACTTAAATATATAGCATGCAAAATGAAGTCTTAAGGTATGGCCGTAATTTTATTTAACTATTAGAGAAGAAAAAGCACAAATCCAGACTTTCTCTAACAAGCATAACTTGAGCAATGGACATTGCCAGGAGTGTGAATTTTTCAGCTGTAAATTGCTAACACACATTGCCTAACAGTCAAATAAGGAAGTGTGTTCAGAAATGTCACATAATACTGCACAAGGATTTTATTGCTCTGCAGCACTCAGAGGAAAAATGATCGTAAAAATAAAACTCCAGGTTAAAAAGTTAGTTTCATAAAGCATTGTGATAATACGGGGGCTTTCTCTTTTAGGTTCCTTCTCAAAAAACGTCCAATCTATCACTACTTCCACCTATCAGAGTTTTGGGACCCAAGAACCCCATCCGCTGGTGTTCGGTAGTAAGCAGGGCTCTGGCCTGGACTTCTTTGCTGAAGGACCCACCCCTGGGCCTCCAACACCTGAACACACTACATCATTTAGCCTACATTCAGTGCCTCCTTGCACTCCTCTTGAGTTAAAATCTCTCTTGGTTCTCAAGTTGCAAGGGTACTCAAGTTTTCTTTAACTGTTTCTCCTATTGCCCATAAAAAAGTTGACCCACAAATATTTATTGGACAAATATTTATTTCTTGTGTTTGCCTATCCTGAGTCCCTTAGTGCCCTAATCCCTCCCCTCCAGCATATCCACCAGCTGGTGTAGGCTCACCCGACTCTGATCCAGTCCAAGGTGAACCAAAAAATTGCAGAATGAAAGGAAAGGGGAACTCAGACATGCAGGAGCTCCAATAACTCATTTGCCTAAGAAATGGCTTTTGTTAAGAAAATATAATATCCCACAGCT